TGTAGAATGTTGTGCTCTGCTGCAGCCCTGTGGTTGATTCTGTGATGCAGAGAACCAGGGTTTGAAGGTGTTCTGCTGAGCAGGGGCCTGAAGCAAACCCATAGCAGTGAATATGGACTTGATTTAAATCAGCTTGGTACCACTCTGACACTGGTGCAGGTTAAAGTGCTGCAAGCTGAGCTGCTCTCTGTCACTCAGGTTGATTTTGTGGTCTTCAAAATCTTTCTCTTTAATGCCAGGAATTCTTCCACTCACTGTTTCATGTCTCATCCATACAGGCCTCAAACTTCTGAGGACTCCTAAGTTCAAATGTCCCAACTTCAATCCTGGCTTGAGAGAAATCAATACAGCTTGTGCCTGTATCAGGCTTAGGCAAGCATAAAAGTTTTATTTATTTAAAAATATTTTTGTATTTCAGGGCATCTGATGAATCCCATGTTACCTTTGACGTGGATTCTTTTACGAAAGCACTGGACAGAATTTTAGGTGAGATTGCTTCTTCATTTGAAATAAATCCCGGCACTGATTTCTTTGCTGTGGTACTGACACAAAATAACACCCAGGGGCAGACTCGGAGGAGCTGGATTCTGATGATCTGGATGAAGAGGAGGAGTTTGATTTCTCAGATGGGGATGATGAAGACCTGGATGCTGGAAACCAAAGGCAGGAGCAGAAGGTGTCTCCTGAGGAGCTCCTGGGCAGTCTCAGGTCGTACATGAATGAGATGGACCGTGAGCTGGCACAGACCAACGTTGGGAAAAGTTTCACCAAAAAGAGAGGGGTGAGTATGCCTTGAGCTCTGATTTGTAGCAGTAACTTCCAAGCAGGAAATGTGCTGAAAGTGGCTGTTCTGAGTGATGTGATCAAAACCTTCCCACGTGCCAGCAAAGTGGGCTGTAGTTGCACCATAATGAGGTTTTTTTCAAACTAAAGCTTACTTACTTTGAATTTGCACATCTTGCCCAAGACTTGGTTTCAGTGCCCTGTTTTTAGCAGTAGGGAAAGCAGCTGCAGCTTGACTTGTGAGTTCCTGCAGTAGTTTGCTCCCGTAGGAAGCTGAGCCAGGACTCAGCAACACTTTCTGTCCTTCCCTTGGAACTTAATCTGAGTCATGGGCAGTGGTGATTTTTAGTTGGCATGAGCACTTGGTGGCTGAATTCCTGTCTGTCAAGACTCTGGAACGTGCTGGACTTTGTTGGCTGCAGAATTGTTTCTTTTCTCTTGTGGCTTGTCTTTTTTTCCCCCTTAAATCTGCTCATGCAATTTGATAAACCTTTCTCTTTGGACTCGCTGCAGGCAAGTTCTGCTGAAGCAGCCACATCTGAGAGTGCTGGCCCTGGTTCTGGAGCTGAGGATGCTGAGCTGGCACCCGTGGATGTGGACATGAACCTGGTGGCAAACCTGCTTGAGTCCTACAGTGCCCAGGCTGGGCTGGCAGGACCCACCTCGAACATTTTACAGAGCATGGGGGTGAATTTACCTGAGAACACAGATCTCGCTGGCTCGAGCAGCCAAGCACAGCAGTGAGAGACTTTGGACAAGACGTGGCTGGTGGGGAAATGAAGCACAGGTGGATGAGCAGGATGTGGAAGAGGAGGCCAAAGGTTTTAATTTCCAGCATTCTGTTCATTCTGTGTCACTTCAGCAAAGTGAATTTACCTGCAAAAGCCTTCTGTTTGGACCCTGTCTTGGATGGAAATGAGATTTTCCCAGTGCTAACACATTTTCAGAAAACTGAAAATTGATGTGACTCGAATGAAACTTTTATTAAAAAACCTCTCTTCCATTTTTCCAATCAGTGATCCAGTTTGTCACATTTCTAAAATGTCCTTTTACACACTGGTTTCAGTATCTGGGAAGCAGTTCTTGTTCTGAAAATGCTGCTGCCTTCAGGGGGAGGTGGGGAACTACCACGTTACAGGAAGAGTCTCATGGATTTGGGAATGCTGGTTAAATGTTGGGCAGACATTTAATCCTTCCCAAAAGCACCATGCTGCATTGTAAAAACCTCTGACAATTACTCTAGGAGCCTGTTCCTTATTAAGCACGAGGATTTAAAGAGTAATTGGATCAAATATGTAAATATTGGCCAGAAGTATTTTTAAAATTTATTTCAATAAAAACAGAAATACAACTTGATTATTGG